TTAAATGTGTAGGTGTGTTTAATGCATAGTTGGTTTGTGAAGTGTTATTTATGCTCTGTTTTCTTTTCCCCCCAGGTAACGATGGTTGACAAAAAGAACTTAAGTCAAAAAAGTAAGTCTGTGTTGTTAAATATTAAACATTGTTGCTAAATAAACAAACTTGTGCTAAGCAAGCTTAAAATCCTTATCTCAATCTTAATTTATATTTTTTCTTTTTCTTCAAACAGCCTGGAAACTGAAGTGCCTCAAATATCTTGTACTCAGTAAGTAACATTGTTTAAACTGTTTAAGCAGACTGTATTGTGGCAAGTAAAATGAATATCCTGTATAAAAAGACTTCATCATTGTATTCATGTTTACAAACAAGAACCCTGTGAGGATGAGGGCTCATTTGTTGCCAAACCTTGGCCAGCAGTGGGACTCAACGCATGTAAGAATTTTGATTACCACGCCCAGTATTTTTCTTATTGAACATTATCAGAAATGCTTCACTATATGGTAGTCAATTGCAACCTCCAGTTCATGCTGACTTTAAGGAACTTGTTTGGCTGAAAGTGTGTAATTTGGATATAAGCACCTGAAGTAAACAAATGTTTTGTATTTTTTAAAGATGCTGCATGAAATGACGATGAGGTTTGGAACAGACTTGGCGAAGAACATGGAAACATCTCTAAATGAAATGGTGCCCAAACATCATCAGGAGTGCAAAAGAAGGAAGTAAAAAAAGAAGGAAGGAAGAGGAAACCACAGAAGGTAACCACCATTTTCCCCATCCAACCTATCTATTCCATGCCCAGTGTAACGTTGCATTGTCAATGTAAAGGTTAAATTGAATGAGTGAAAACATGTATTAAAATAATGAAAGTATTAAAGGAATAGTTTACCCAAAAATGAAAATTGTCATAATTTATTCACCTCTTGTCATTTCAAATCTTTATGACTTTCTTCTTCAGAACACAAAAGATATTTTGAAGAAGGATGGTAACCGAACAATGGCGGTGCCCATTGACCTGCTGCATTAGTTTTGTGTCCATATAATTGAAGTGAATGGGTACCAGCATTGTTCGGTTACCAACATTCTCCAAAATATATTTTTTTGTGTTATGCTGAAGTAGGAAAGCCATATAAGTTTAAAATGACAAGAGTGAGTGAATGATGACAGAATTTTTATTTTTGGGTGACTATGCCTTTAATTGATTTCTGTACCTAATGGACAATAATTTGTATCTGTTTGTAGGTCTCTTTAGGAATGCTGCACTCATTTTATTGCCAGCACTATTTAAAGAAAACGCCACCTTCCTCTACTGTGTAGATAGTGTAAGTATAAAGTCTTCTGTATTTTCATTAACATTTGATGCACTTGACTTGAATTAGTCAGTAGGACTGGGCGATAAATCGATTTTATCGATTAACTCGAATGTGTAGTTTACGTCGACTTCGCATCGATCATAAAATAAATACAACTCCAGGGGTTAATACTTGTCTTCTAAAGCACAATGTTACATACAAATGGTACGTTAGTGAGATAAAAAAAAAGATTAAATTTGCCAAGATAGGTTGCTATAATTAGACTATGTATAGATAAGAGAATAACATCCAATGGGGTGGCACATCAGCTCCACATCAATAATTATGAGTCTTGTTGGTTCTTGCGTGTCACGTGCCTAGCTGTCATATCCGTGTTGTCATGAACGATTCAGTCGCAAGAATGAAAGAACCAATGAAATTCAAAGTAATCAAACTGGAGCTGACGTGGTAGCATGTTGAATGTTCATCAGTAATGTTGACATTCAAACACATTACAAAGCTTGGAAGAGCTAGGATATTATTAAATATATCTCAGATTTGGTTTAAGTGAAGAAATAGTCATACACATAGGTTGGCTTGTTGGTAAATTATGGGGTAATTTTTGGTCTATTTGATGACTTCTGTTAATTGGTGAAAAACACTCAAAAGGTGAAATGTTTGTTTTACAGGAAACCAAAGGTCCTACACCAACCAGTGTTTAACGGCTCTCCTGATCTCCTCAAGACTGAGAGTGTCAGCATTATAATGGAGGCAGACATGACAAAGACTGTGGAATGCCTGTTTGCAGTCGCACAATGACTTTTATTCAAAAATATATGCATAAACTTAAACAAGAGCATGACACAAGAACACCAATACCTGTACTAAAAATGTACTGTCAACTTGTGTAAGTTGTAGTGCTATTTATTAGATGTTTTAATTGTTCATGTATTGTTTTTTTATCTGCTTTGTCAAATATCAAAAATATATTGTATGGTTTTTCCTCATTTCAGAGATGCATGTAAAAGTTAAGTACTGTATATGTACATACAGTACATAAACAAGCTTATGTATGCTTATTGCTAAGTGAAAATGCTTAAATTAAATAATTCAAACTAAATGGTTGAATGTAATTTAACATCTTAAATGTAAAAAAAAGTTTTGCTGTATAACACAGTATACGGATGTGCAATTTTAAGTATGACACTAATATGTTTGTATAATCAATTGAATAAATTTAAACTTTTGGAATTTTCTGGATTGGTTATTTTTGTATTCATATAATTAACTGGTTTAATAATATAGAACCCTTAAATGGTTCTAAATAGAACCATCTAACTTGGATTTAAAGAACCATTGGGGGTTCTTTTTATGGAACCTATTAAAATGGTTCTATATAGAACCATTTTGGAGTTCCATATATGAAGCGGGTGATAGAACCATTTCTGGTTCTAAGTAGAACCATTTCTTTTAAGAGTGTAGTTTCTCTCATCCATTCCATTCCTAAATAGTGCGTTTTGTCTATCACTTTCTTGTTTGGTGTGACTAACTTGGTGATAACAATGTACCGTTACTTTCTGGATGAGATCAGCTATTTTCTCCCATTGTTCTCTGTGGCATAGGTTTATTACGGGCATTGTGGAAACCGTTGGCTTTCCATATCTCTAATTGTTTGTTTGTTTGTATACTTTATTGTCCTTTTCCAGGAAATTTGTCTTGGACTCAAGGCTGCATTAATACATAACATACATACAACAAATACACACACAAACTATAGACCTACATTCCTTGTTCAAACCATCTGCTACATATTCTGAGTCACATGTCAGCACAATTTCCTGATGTCCTAATTCAACAGCTTTTTCCAGGGCTTTTTATTTTTATTTAACCTTTATTTAACCAGGAAGTCCCTTGAGACTGAAGTCTCTTTTCCGAGGGAGACCTGGCCAAGACGGCACACCAGTTACAATTTAAATACAAATACAACATAATCAAAAACAAACAAACATCACACATAAAAAAAAAAAAAAAAGAACAGGTCACATATGGCAGTTACATTTTTGAGTTATATGGCATTTTAACATGGCCTTAAATTTGTTTAATGGGACTAGATCATTTAGATGTAGCAAATCTTGCAAATTATTCCAGGACCATGGTGCAAAGTAAGAGAAGGCTTTTTTTCCCAGCTCAGTAAAAACCCTTGGAACCTGGTAAGAGAGCCATCTGGTGGAACGGAGATGAAAACTGCTGGAATTCTTTTTAAGGAGATTACATAAATATGCCGGCAATTTACCCAACACGGCTTTCTATAGAAAAATATGCAAATGAAGTTGTCTACGTAGACTTAGTGACGTCCAGCCTGCCAGTTCATACAGCGTACAATGAGGAGTACGGTAACCAGAGTTAGTTAAAAAGCGTAAAGCACTAAGAAAGAAGAAAGAAAGAAAGAAAGAAAGAAAGAAAGAAAGAAAGAAAGAAAGAAGAAAGATTAGTTAGAAAGAAAGAAGAAAGATTAGCTAGAAAGAAAGAAAGAAAGAAAGAAGAAAAATTAGTTAGAAAGAAAGAAAGAAAGATTAGTTAGAAAGAAAGAAAGAAAGAAAGAAAGAAGAAAGATTAGTTAGAAAGAAAGAAAGAAAGAAAGAAAGAAAGAAGAAAGATTAGTTAGAAAGAAAGAAAGAAGAAAGATTAGCTAGAAAGAAAGAAAGAAAGAAAGACAGAAAGAAAGAAGAAAGATTAGTTAGAAAGAAAGAAAGAAAGAAAGAAAGAAAGAAAGATTAGTTAGAAAGAAAGAAAGAAAGAAAGAAAGAAAGAAAGAAGAAAGATTAGTTAGAAAGAAAGAAAGAAAGAAAGAAGAAAGATTAGTTAGAAAGAAAGAAAGAAGATTAGTTAAAAAGAAAGAAAGAAAGAAAGAAAGAAAGAAGAAATATTAGTTAGAAAGAAAGAAGAAATATTAGTTAGAAAGAAAGAAAGAAAGAAGAAAGATTAGCTAGAAAGAATGAAAGAAAGAAAGACAGAAAGAAAGAAGAAAGATTAGTTAGAAAGAAAGAAAGAAAGATTAGTTAGAAAGAAAGAAAGAAAGAAAGAAAAAAAGAAGAAAGATTAGTTAGAAAGAAAGATTAGCTAAAAAAAAGGAAGAAAGATTAGTTAGAAAGAGAGAAAGAAAGAAAGAAAGAAGAAAGATTAGTTAGAAAGAAAGAAAGAAAGAAGAAAGATTAGTTAGAAAGAAAGAAAGAAAGAAAGAAGAAAGATTAGTTAGAAAGAAAGAAAGAAAGAAAGAAAGAAAGAAAGAAAGAAAGAAGAAAGATTAGTTAGAAAGAAAGAAAGAAAGAAAGAAAGAAGAAAGATTAGTTAGAAAGTAAGAAAGAAGAAAGATTAGTTAGAAAGAAAGAAAGAAAGAAAGAAGAAAGATTAGTTAGAAAGAAAGAAAGATTAGTAAGAAAGAAAGATAGATTAGTTAGAAAGAAATATTAGTTAGAAAGAAAGATAGATAGATTGGTTAGAAAGAAAGAAAGATTAGTTAGAAAAAAGAAAGATAGATTAGTTAGAAAGAAAGATAGATAGATTTGTTAGAATGAAAGAAAGATAGATTAGTGAGAAAGAAAGATAGATTAGTTAGAAAGAAAGATAGATTAGTTAGAAAGAAAGAAAGATTAGTTAGAAAGAAAGATAGATAGATTAGATAGAAAGAAAGAACGATAGATTAGTTAGAAAGAAAGATGGATAGATTAGTTAGAAAGAAAGATAGATTAGTTAGAAAGAAAGAAAGAAAGAAAGAAAGATTAGTTAGAAAGAAAAAAACATAGATTAGTTAGAAAGAAAGATAGATTAGTTAGAAAGATAAAAGATAGATAGATTATTTAGAAAGAAAGAAGATAGATTAGTTAGAAAGAAAGATAGATTAGTTAGAAAGAAATATTAGTTAGAAAGAAAGATAGATAGCTTGGTTAGAAAGAAAGAAAGATTAGTTAGAAAGAAAGATAGATAGATTTGTTAGAATGAAAGAAAGATAGATTAGTGAGAAAGAAAGAAAGATAGATTAGTTAGAAAGAAAGATAGATAAGTTAGTCAGAAAGAAAAAAGATAGATTAGTTAGAAAGAAAGAAAGATAGATTAGTTAGAAAGAAAGATTAGTTAGAAAGAAAGAAAGATAGATTAGTTAGAAAGAAAGATAGATTAGTTAGAAAGAAAGAAAGACAGATTAGTTAGAAAGAAAGAAAGATAGATTAGTTAGAAAGAAAGATAGATTAGTTAGAAAGAAATATTAGTTAGAAAGAAAGATAGATAGATTGGTTAGAAAGAAAGAAAGAAAGATTAGTTAAAAAAAAGAAAGATAGATTAGTTAGAAAGAAAGATAGATAGATTTGTTAGAATGAAAGAAAGATAGATTAGTTAGAAAGAAAGATAGATAGATTAGTTAGAAAGAAAGAACGATAGATTAGTTAGAAAGAAAGATAGATAGATTAGTTAGAAAGAAAGAACGATAGATTAGTTAGAAAGAAAGATGGATAGATTAGTTAGAAAGAAAGATAGATTAGTAAGAAAGAAAGAAAGATTAGTTAGAAAGAAAGAAAGATTAGTTAGAAAGAAAGATAGATTAGTTAGAAAGAAAGATAGATTAGTTAGAAAGAAAGATAGATTAGTTAGAAAGAAAGAGATTAGTTAGAAATAAAAAAGAAAGATACGTTAGAAAGAAAGATAGATTAGTTAGAAAGAAAGAAAGAAAGATTAGTTAGAAAGAAAGAAAGATTAGTTAGAAAGAAAGATAGATTAGTTAGAAAGAAAGATAGATTAGTTAGAAAGAAAGATAGATTAGTTAGAAAGAAAGAGATTAGTTAGAAATAAAAAAGAAAGATAAGTTAGAAAGAAAGATAGATTAGTTAGAAAGAAAGAAAGAAAGAAAGAAAGAAAGAAAGAAAGAAAGAAAGATTAGTTAGAAAGAAAGAAAGATTAGTTAGAAAGAAAGATAGATTAGTTAGAAAGTTAGAAAGAAAGATAGATTAGTTAGAAGAAAGAAAGATTAGTTAGAAAGAAAGATAGATTAGTTAGAAAGAAAGATAGATTAGTTAGAAAGAAAGATAGATTAGTTAGAAAGAAAGATAGATTAGTTAGAAGAAAGAAAGGTTAGTTAGAAAGAAAGATAGATTAGTTAGAAAGAAAAAGATTAGTTAGAAGAAAGAAAGATTAGTTAGAAAGAAAGAAAGATTAGTTAGAAAGAATGAAAGATTAGTTAGAAGAAAGAAAGATTAGTTAGAAAGAAAGAAAGATTAGTTAGAAAGAATGAAAGATTAGTTAGAAAGAATGAAAGATTAGTTAAAAAGAGAGATAGATAGATAGATAGATAGATAGATAGATAGATAGATAGATAGATAGATAGATAGTTAGATAGATAAGTTCATTAGTACATATAGAATGGTAGTTTAATTGAGTCTAGGGCTTCAGGGAGTTTAGATTTGAGTTTGTGTTGTACACTAATGGGACTACTTTGCAATGAAAGTCAATGGGATTTTTATGATTTTTAATATTAATTTTTAAGAAATCTGAAAGTCAAATCAGTCTGAAAAGATATAGCAACTCGAGTCAGAACAGTCTGAAGGTCTGACCCGAGTTTGGAGTTTGTAGAGTTAAAACTCTAGGAGGAGTAGCAGTCAGAATTTTTTGGGTAAGAAAAATAAGAAGAAGAAGAAGAAGAAGAAGAAGAAGAAGAAGAACTAGAAAAAAAGTTTGATGAGACAAACTTTAAGTTGGCTTGAGAAAGCCGGACCAGAGAGTTTGAAGAAGTTTAAAGTAGTTTGAAGTCGGATAGATTGATTAGTTAGAAAAGAAAAGAAAGATTAGTTAGATAGACAGAAGGATTGGTTTCACTGAAAGAAAGATTAGTTAGAAAGAAAGAAAGATTAGTTAGAAAGAAAGAAAGAAAGATTAGTTAGAAAGAAAGAAAGAAAGATTAGTTTAAAAAAGAGATAAAGAAAGAAAGAAAGAAAGAAAGAAGAAATGTTAGTTAGAAAGAAAGAAAGAAAGAAAGAAAGAAGAAAGATTAGCTAGAAAGAAAGAAAGAAAGAAAGAAAGATTAGTTAGAAAGAAAGAAAGAAAGAAAGAAGAAAGATTAGAAAGAAAAAAAGAAAGAAAGAAAGAAAGAAAGAAAGAAAGAAAGAAGAAAGATTAGTTAAAAAGAAAGAAAGATTAGTTAGAAAGAAAGAAAGAAAGAAAGAAAGA